TGACACCCTCAGTAGCATGCCAATGAAAATACTCAATAGCATTTTTAAAGGAGCATATACTCTCCTGTTATAACAGCAGCATTGTAATAGCAATACATAGTATAGTTGTTTTTGATAATGCAATCAAAGCTTACTTCAAAAAATCAATTTCATGCAGTGAGCTGTGCCATCCATCTGTCCATCTCTTTCAACAACTTTATTTGTTGCTAGGCAGCCTGGCTTCCTGACTAAGCAGGAAGCTGGGAGGCAAGTCATGACGTGCCACCCGGCTTCCTGATTGGTTAAGAAGCCAGCTTCACTTGTTCCTAGACAGCCTGGCTTCCTGAACAATCAGGAAGCCGGGAGGTGGGTCATTACCTGCTGCCCAGATTTCTGATTAGTTAGGAAGCCAGACGAGTGAAGCCGGCTTCCTAGCAAATCAGGAAGCTGGGAGGGAGGGAGATCTCCCTTTGACTGGAAGTTCAGGTATCAGTGGTATGAGTACTCGCCCAAGTACTCGGTATCAGCACCGATACCAATACTGGTATCGGTGCATCCCTAATCTTTGTACCATTAAACCATTTATAGGTCAGCTTCAGAAGTTTCATGTTGTCAGACTAATAAATTCATATTTCTGATTGGTTACTGCACAGGAACCAAATATACACTGTATTGCCAAAAGTATTGGGACACCCCTCCAAATCATTGGATTCAGGTGTTCCAATCACCTACATGGTCACAGGTGTATAAAATCACGCACCTAGGCATGCAGACTGCTTCTACAAACATTTGTGAAAGAATGGGTTGCTCTCAGGAGCTCAGTGAATTCAAGCATGGTACCATGATAGGTTGCCACCTGTGCAATAAGTACATCCATGACATTTCCTTGCTACTAAGTATTCCACGGTCAACTGTTAACGGCAATTCGGCCGCGAAGTGGTAGTCCATGTAAAATGACACAGCAGGTTCAGCACATGCTGAAGCGCACAGTGCACAGAAGTCGCCAACTGTCTGCAGAGTCAATAGCTACAGAGCTCCAAACTTTGTGTGGCCTTCAGATTGGCACAACAACAGTGCATAGAGAGCTTCATGGAATGGGTTTCCATGGCCGAGCAGCTGCATCCAAGCCTTACATCACCAAATGCAATGCATTGCATCTGATGCAGTGGTGTAAAGCACGCCACCACTGGACTCTAGAGAAGTGGACACGTGTTCTCTGGAGTGACAAATCACGCTTCTCTGTCTGGCAATCCGATGGACGTGTCTGGGTTTGGCGGTTGAAGGAGAACGGTACTTGTCTGACTGCATTGTGCCAAGTGTAAAGTTTGGTGGAGGGAGGATTATGGTGTGGGGTTGTTTTTCAGGGGTTGGGCTTGCCCACCTTAGTTCCAGTGAAGGGAACTCTTAAGGCATCAGCATACCAAGACATTTTGGACAATTTCATGCTCCCAACTTTGTGGGAACAGTTTGGGAATGGCCCCTTCCTGTTCCAACATGACTGCGCACCAGTGCACAAAGCAAGGTCCATAAAGACATGGATTAGCGAGTTTGGGGTGAAGGAACTTGACTGGCCTGCACAGAGTCCTGACCTCAACCCAATAGAACACCTTTGGGATGAATTAGAGTGGAGACTGCGAGCCAGGCCTTCTCGTCCCACATCAGTACCTGACCTCACAAATGCGCTTCTGGAAGAATGGTCAAACATTCCCATAGACACACTCCTTAACCTCGTGGAAGCCTTCCCAGAAGAGTTGACGCTGTTATAGCTGCAAAGAGTGGGTTAACTCAATACTGAACCCTACAGACGCCATTAAAGTTCATGTGCGTGTAAAGGCAGGCGTACCAATACTTTTGGCAATATAGTGTACGCTATATTTGGCTTACATGTACCAAGTTATGCTATTTAGTTAAGTTTATTAATTAAAATGTCTAGTTATCTTTAGTAAGACCAAATTAATTGAATATCAGATGGTCTATTAAAAATCCATGGGTAGCCTTTGATGTGACATGTTGGTTTACAAACACAGACTTATGGATTACAGTGCCATTTCCTTTCGAGTGCAGAAAATTGTGGCCCTATGTTCTTTAGACTTTTACATTCTGTTTAAGGTCAAAGCTTGCACAACTGTGCAAAATACAATGATTCAACATTAAAAGCATGTACAATAGAGAACTGGAGATCTTATCATTTATCCCAAAAACGTGCGCAGGCTTGGTCCATGCTGTGCAATTTGTAACTTTTTTCATGGTCAGTCACACAGATTTCACAGATAATTCTTTGTCGGCAGAAAAATGTAGCTAGCTAGCTAGCATTGAGAAGATTAATAGCAAAGGCTTGTAGATAAACCCTTTGATCAAGACATTCTTACGTGTTTCTTTCTCTTTATTAGTATTATGATTTATGTCCAGTGGCAACAGGTGTCACACTTCTTTTTAGAGTTATTGAAGGGGCGAGGGCCCCTGCTATAACTTTATTTTTAAAAATGTGACTAGAAACTTAATACAAAGTACCTATGTATTTTAAGCTGTACATAATCACCATTTTTATGCCAGTGTCTGAGGCACTGTAACACTCAACATGCTTTGCCAGTCTGGAGGACCTCTTGATACTCATGGGGTGAATGGGTGAAGGCTGTTTCATAAATATACTTCATGTAATATAGTGGAAAAACAGGAGGTATGCATATGTTCTGCATTGCTTCAATACGTAATCCCTTTTTTTTTAATATAGTGTATTAGAAATAGAGCACACCTTTCTACTTAAAGTGACACTAAACTCAAGAGTTAAATCTTGAAAATGCATTTGAGGAATCTAACTATTAACAAATATGTATCTTATTTGTGTATCACTCAGCTGCAGAACCTCAAATCATCTCTGAATTGGTGCTGACACTGTCCTTCCTTCTGGAGGGTGGCTACGTTTGTTCCCCATGGTCCCTGTGTGTGTTGTAAAGTAGCCACCGCTCCAAGCTCACTCCCGTGATGGACTACAATCTCAATACAAATTAGTAAACTAAACGAGAGATTGTAGTCCATCACAGGAGTGAAGTTGGAGCTCTGGCTAGTTTACAAGGCACACAGGGACCATAGGGAACAAACGTAGCTACTCTCCAGAAGTAAAGACAGTATCAGCACCAATTCAGAGATGATTTGAGGATCTACAGCTAAGTGATACACAAAAATGATACATTTCTGTTAATAGTTAAGGCACTTTATGAATTTAGTGTCACTTTAAGTAGAAAGGTGTGCTTTAGACACAGGTTGTGTCATCTCAGTTTATCAGATTCCTTTTATTAATATTATTTATTTCAAATACGTGGCCTCATGTTATATTTAAATGTTATTTAGAAGTCAGTAACTTTGGAGCCAGCAGACCCCATGGCATTTCTGTGACAGACTAATAAAGGTTCATTGAGAGGAGAGAAGCATTGGCAGTGGTGTGGGTTTATATCAGTTTTATATCAAGTACTCAGTTTGTCATCCAGGTTAGATTTTTTAAAGAGTGTTTTAGAGATGGTAGATGTTTAGAGATCAGAGCAAGTTTCTGTAGAAGATTCACCAGGTAGATTTAGATTTTTTCTTTTTGTTTTTTAAGAAGAGCAAATTCATGTTTTTTTAGCATTGACAGTCACATGGTTTAGAGTGTTTTTATGAAACTGACATCAATAACATCACAGTTACAAGAAAGTACAAAAAAGACATTGTACAAAATTTACTTTACATAAAGAACCCTTGCTTATATAATAGGAAGTAGTCCAGGATAAAAGTGGATATTATTAAAGTAAGGTTCATTAAACTGCAGAACTGAACACGATTTGCAAAAGGTTCTCTTTAATTGATGTATTTTTCTCAATGGAAATCGTTCTAGAAGAGCATGATTTTCATCCCTGAAATAACCTCAGTTTGGCATGTCAGATTCAAGGTTATTTAATGGGACAAAGAGCATTGTACAAAGTTTGGTAACCCCTGTAATCCAGGCTGACTACAGTTATTTGAATTCTGATTCGCTTTGTACAACAACAATGATTTTACCACTTCTATTATAAATCTGTACATCCATGATAGAGAAAGTTAGGTTGAAAAAAAGACACAAGTCCATTGAGTTCAACAAATAAATAAACTGCTTACAGTTATTTAGTAATCTAAATTTTGATTATGCACTATGCACGTAGCTATTATTTGTTGAATTTCTTGCAATGTATTGTGCATTCGTTACTGGATATCGCTGAACTAATTTGGAAGGTTGATGTCTGCTATCCACTTATTACATCCTCAGTGTCTAGTGCCTTGTAATATGGTCTTCTTGTCAAGGAGAAGTCTATGTTTGCATCTTAATGGCTTTTAATCTGCAGTACAAATGTACACTGAAGTTTTATTCGCCATGTCTGCAGTGCCAAGAAATTACTCTGAATTTAAAATGTCCCTTAAAGGAAATGTTTACTGAGATATACATTGAGGGTGCCATTGCTGATTTCATTCTGATAAATTCTAGTTTTGTGACTGTTTCTGACTGCAATACTGTAAACTCCCGGTCACACCTCTGACATCGCAGAGGTGCTGCAGGTGGTTCACTGCAGTAGGGAAGCCCAGTCATTTGCATGGGCTGCCTACCACTGTTAAAATCAAAGAAGTTCAAGCACCTTTCATTAAATCGCATTGCACAGCATCGCATTAAAATAGGTTGCCATGTGATGTGGTGCAATAAAACACACATGCGCATAGCATGCCATTAAGAAATAATTGCACTGCACCTACTGCACTGTGATTCCGCATTGCAACATGCGATGCAGGATCACACGTGCCATCCTACATTTTCCCACATTGCAAAGATGGGAATGGAGCCTAAGAGAAAGACCTCTAACTATCATGCAGATAAGGAAAGTCAAAATAATTTTTGCAGTAAATATTACTTGCAATTTCAGAATAATTTGTACTTCAGTTTAATTTTTTTTACCATCTTCTTTTTCTTAGCTGAATAGTTTTTCCTTATTTTGTAACTTTATTATTTTTTTAAATTGCAGGGTCAACCTGGAACTCAAGTAAGTAAACAGAATACTTTTTCTGTGTTTGTACAGAAATTGAGAAAAATCTCACGAATGTACAGCTGTAAAAGCCTGACATAGGTTCTAACCATTTATCTCTCTACAACAAAAAAAGGTGTTTTATTGCTGCCTGTGTTCCTATTGAAGAGCCCTCACTTCCTGTCCTGGTGACACCTGCCACTAGAAGAAAGAGTGAAGCCATCTAAGTGGGGTGCATTGGTGGCTATGAAGGCCTGAGAGAGGTTTACAAACCTTTCTCACCCGATCTAAAATCAAGAAAGAACATTTTAGCCGGATTTTCATTCTGCAGAAGCAGTCAGTAAGAGCAAAGCTAGTTAGAAACCATACCATACTTTGTGTTATGGAAGTACTATGAGTATCATGGAGGCACCTTGTATTAAATGTTTAGTGTAAAATAAAGATTTTAAAATAATAATTAAATAATGCTGTAAAACATAAGTTTTAAAGAAGTAGAAAAAAGAAAAAAACAACCCATGACACTGTCCTTTAATTGCTATACGAATGTGTCACATGAGTCTGTAGGGTGCAAGATCGTGTTGCCAAATCACATCACTATTTTGCTGAGATGACTAAACAAGCTCCTTATGTGACCTAGAAACTATGCAAAGAGTGCTTTGCCTCTGACTTAAGGGAGCCTTGTGCGGGTTTTGCATCAACAGAAATTGCATAGAATCTATTTTCTACAGTTCGGTAACCTGTCTGGTAAATGTTTAGTGAGATAAGCTTAAAGAATTATTAAACCCTCATATATCTATTACTAGCAAACAGCAGATATATGCAAAGACATTTTTTTTAAAAAGGGTTTAAACTTACTTGTGCTCCCGTCCGAACATCTGAAGAGTCTCGGGCAGCCGCAAATGATCTTGGGGCGGGCGCATGCGCACTTCAGAGGTTCGGCCGGGAGACGAGGAGAGACACAAGGTAAATCTATGGAGCAGCGTGCACCCGCACAGACTCCATGGGACGTTAGGGGAGAGGAGGACAGAGGAGTCAGTGCTGGATCGGACACCCGCACCAGCGCTGGAGGGACAGCTAAAATCTGCAGGAAAGAAGATCGGATTAAGAGACATCATTTAAGGTAAGTCCCTACAGCAGGATTGGGAAGGGGCAAAACTAATTCTGACTTTAATGTCACTTTAAGATGATTTTAGCCGTATTAGTGCAGTTGCTACATTAAAGTTCTGTCCGTGATAATTTTCTCATTTGTACTAACAGTTAGATTTTCAGGACAAGCTTTCAGGAGGCCTAGCCTCTTTTTCTCGGTTCAAGCAGCACTGATAAGCAAACCTTTGTGTATCAGTAATGCTTCGACTGAGATGAGGTATCACAGTACTCAACAGTGACATATGCAAAGCACAACCAAGATGCAGAACCTGCACATACAATGAGCAAATATGACTGGGTTTGCACCAAGCCCCTTCACATAACTGATTGCAACCAAGAGGCCAAATGGTAACACTCAGGTGGCTCCACTCAAGCTGAGATTTATGAAAGACCACTAACAAGATAGCCATTTCAAGAAACAAATCTAAATTCGTCCAATTTCCATCATGATGTGGGAAGTTCTTGATGAGGGTGGACATGAAACCGATCAAGTTTAAAGGAAAGATAGAGCCAAATACAGGGAAAATCTACAGGCAGTTTTAACCTGCAAGACAGTGACCTCAAACTCACCACCTAAGGTGCACTAGGGTGGTTTCAAACCAAAAACTGCAACCTCTTAGAATGGCCAGGTCAAGTGACATCCCTCTATCCCATTGTAAATTTGACGGAGATAGTTAACCAAGATGAGCTGGCAAACAAAGGTGAAAATCGAGATCTGACAAGCTGCTAGAGACTTATACCCAATATGCTCAAAACTGCAGCCAAAATTCTACCAAGTATTAATTTGAGGGTGAAAATGAATGCAAATCACAAAGAATAATTTGTCTTATTTATAAATTAACTTTTGTGCCACAATTCCTTCAGTTTGTTAAATATGTTTTATGAATCATTTAGTACAAATACCATAAAACCATATTTTAAAAAGGTTGTAACACTAACACATGGGGAAAAGTTTTGCAGAATATTATATTTTGATTCTGCCAACACCAGTCTGATCTATCAAATCAGGGACAGGATGTCCCGCTTATGCTGGGCATATTATGGCATGTCACCAGTGAAGTTTACGACAATGGGAAGCCTAGTTAAGGCAGGTAATTGCCAATAGTCAATTCTATAGAATGCTTACATCTCATGAAAGCTGGTAGCTGACCTGAGGTCCCCTTACTGATATAATGCAAACATTGTAAAAACGGTTTCTCTTTACCTAAGTGCTTTATAATGATGGTATTCAGTATGTTCAAATGGCACTGAATAAGAAACATAAATTGTTCACCTCATTTCAGGCACAGATGTGTCAGAATAATAAAAAGAGAACAGAAGCTAGACCTTGAAATAGGATGAATGGTAGCAGTCTTTTGTCTTCACAGGGAATTTTGTGTGTATGTGTTTTTAATTTGTTTGTCATTGACTGATGCTGGTAAGCTTTGCAGTGTTAGCTGTATTATTATAAATACATTTTCTTTGAAATTATTCCTCTGATGGTGAATGTCATGTCATATGAAAGTATTGGTTCATGGTAAGAACTAAATTACTCTATTGTATTTCGAAGAGCTATAGAGAACATATGCATGTTGTTTTCCAAGGCTACCTGCCCCACAGTCACTTGCTAAAAACTGCATGACATAAAAGTGCATTAAATTAAATATTTCCAGGCATGTCATTTGGCTAAAGTGTGATGGCAATTATGGCATGGAGCAGAAAGGCTAGTGTGTGCAAGTATGTATTTATTGATGTTGGCAATTGTGGCTGCCCAGCCTCTTTTATCATAATGCTGGAACACAATGCAAAAATTTACATTTCTTAGTGCCTTAAAGGAGAACTATGGGGTCAGGGCTTTTCCCCATAGTTCTCCTTAGGGTAAGGGAGGACACAAACTAGCGTCCTCCCGTTACCCTAAGCTCAGTATACCGCGAGCTACAGCTCGCGGTATACTGAGACGCAGCAGCCGGAGCGGATCCCGACATCGATGTTGAGATCCGCCCAGCTGCGTGAGTGACAGCTGGCTCTGCCTATCTAGAGGCAGAGCCAGCTGTACCCGCCCCCTCCCCCGTCCGTTCCGCCAGTCAGCGCTGGCGGATCGGAGCGGGGAGGGGGGAATCCAGCCCCTCCCCTGTCACGGCAGAGTGCCGTGACAGGATCGAGAGGTGAGCGAACGCCGGTATCTGTTCGCTCACCTCCCGATCTACTGAGCCGACCTGTGACAGTCTCATTGTCACAGGTCGGCTACAACTATGAGGTGAGTGGAAATCACTCATCTCATAGTTCTCCTTTAATGTCTTTATATTAGTATGGTCCTGTACAGTTCCATAAATGGCTGACATACTTAGGTTTAGCTCTAATAACAGCTTAATGACATGGACATAACCAGCCTCGCACACCTGCTACGTCCCACAACAGCCACGCGGCGCTCTCCCGCCTCCTCTACTCACCCACTACATCGATCACGGACAGCACAAGACCAAACAGCCAGTTACCGTCCGCCTCTTATAAGATGGCCCAGACAGCGTCGTGAGTGATGGGCGTGGGAAAAAGGAGGATTCTGATTTACAACTGGAGTGAAAGGGAAAGCTATGATTGGCTACGGGAGTGGTTCTGCTGTCTGTGGTGTGTGACCTAAATACGGAAGTGGTTATGAGTGCTACCATGGAAACCATTGCAGAGAATTCAGGATGGCGAGCCACTGGGCACGGGTGTTATATCATTCAAACAACGGACCTTAGTAAAGATGGATGCTGCCATCTTTAACATGGGAAGGTGCACGGCTGTAAGCCATCTGGAATCCCTCCAGGAGTTGGGTACTCGGCCCATCACTCGCGAGTGGGCGAGTGGAAATTTTGAGCTCTGTCCTAAACCAAACATAATAACCTTGAGATTGTTCAATGTTGTGTAATATTTTGAACTTGAAATATAAACTTTGCCTAGCCTGCGACACTGGGAATACTAATGTAGCCCCACCACATTTTATGGAATGGCTACTAGAAATTTAGTGATTGCTAGAGCTGTAGTTAGCATGGTCAAATTATAGTTGGCATTTATCTGGTTAATTCCAGGTGTTCTAGCATTAATTGTACCTGCCAGAGTGGAGTGTGGCTCTGCTGCAGTGTGGGGCAACCAATGGGAGGACATTATGAGTGTGTGTGTGTGTGTGTGTGGCTTGCCAGCCAATCAGTGGTGGTTTCATGGCCAGTGGTGCATGCTAGGTAAGAGCATATATACTCAAGGGAATTTCCATGGGCTCAGTCTGGTTGCAGCCATATGTTAATCCTGGTTGGTGTTCTGTCCAGCCTGCCTGGGGATGCTCAAGTGTGGGAAATGCTTTGCTAGGCCTCAAGCCTGGAGGAGGCCTAATACTGATTGAGGATGAGAAGCTGATGGCTGCTAGAGGTGCCTGGAATGGAATGGATCTCAGGAGCAAGGCTGGTGTCTCTCCTACTAAAGATCTCATGCCCATCCATCTTCAGCTGTTGCTCAAATACCGAGTGTCAGTGTGTGCTCTTATTGATTCTGCACTGTGGAATACTGAAAGAGAATGGTGAGTCTGGAGTTCTGTTCTGTATATTTTTCTCATCGATGTCCTAAGCCCTATACCCTGTCCTCCAATTGATGTGTTCTAATGAAAGTTCTTCAGCATTATACCTCTGGCCTGGATTTCAGCTCTATCAGTAATAAGTACAGGGCGGTTAATGCTATTGGGGCTGCAGGTTGCTAAAATCACCTAGATGGGCTATGGAAGACCCGATCATTCCAGTGGCCCTGTAGGGGGTAGCTCTACACTGAGAATAGAGTTTCTTGTTATGTGAACTAATCACAAGTATTCGGTACATATTTTTTGTTCCTAATATATCATAGGTATTCCACGCACAATTGCTGCTACAATGTGATTAATCTGAAATATTAAAACATTCTATGTCTTGCTTCCTAGTTTGCAGCTGTATATGTTAAAATAACTAAAAACATTGGTAAAGTAAAGTTAGGATTATCCAGGTGATCCTGGTAGAAACCAGCCCTATTGAGATCCAGCAATTACCCCAGTATACTATCCACAGAGTCAAGACCAAAGGAAGCAGGCCCTAACTGAGAATAATATGGGGAGTCAAGCTAATCTATCATCATTTCTAGACAATAAATACATATAATCTTTGAATCACAAATCTATAGGAATCTTGCAATGTACTATTCAACGATAAGAGACTGAAAACGCTTTTTACTGTCAAAATCAAACAATTTAGTGAACAATGAATCTGCTTTTTGTTTTTCATATCATATATTTTAAGACATTTCCAATTAGTTTTTTTGTAAGTTTTTTTGTAATAATAACAAAAAGAAAAGATAATTTTAACTGCTTTGCCTAAATCATTACATATGCACTCGCCATGACTCAAGGCTTTGAACAATAGTTGATTTCTGGGGCATCAGATTTTCAGACATGCAAATAAAAGCTTATTGTATGAGGTGACTGAAATATTATCGTATGGTATAAATCTATATTCTGTAAGCACAGCTGATACTGACATTTCCAAATAGTATCAGCAATCATCAGTTATAAGCCATTTAGCTCAAGATTGCTGGTTGTTTTGCAGAATAAAATGGAGTTCACCAAAGCTCACTATAAGCACAGTTGTTCCTTTGAAGCTTGAGAGATGAAGTGGTAATTTGCTGCTCACTGTCATTTCTGGGCCTTCCATAAAGTGACAGTGTGAGCAAAATCTGCAGAGAGAATTTACAACTACCAAATAGTCTATGAAGAAAACCAATTCCATGCACCTGACAGGGAAGTCATGAGATCAGTACAGACACTGCCATTGCTGACATCGTATAAAAAAATGCTAGTTGCCTGGCTGTTTTGCTGACCCAGCCATTTTAATGCAATGTGAGTCACTGAACTACAACAAGTATGCAGATCACGCAAAGTCAGATAGAAGTCGGACATCCTTATCTGCATGCTTATTTGGAGTCCCTGGCTCAATTCATTACAGCCCAACTCCTTAGATTGTAAGCTCCTTGAGGGTAGGGACTGATGTGAATGTGCACAGTGTGTAGCTCTGCGTAAAATTGTCAACGCTATATAAAGGCCAATAATGAATAAATAAATAACTTCAGGCTGGAAGAAAAAAAATTTAAGTGGAACACCACCCAATGCACTGCAAGGGTTAAATACTCAATAAGTCTAGGTATGACGGAGAAGCTGTCTTACTTACCCTAACTCGTGCTCCAGCAGCCTCTGGCTCTCTCCTCTTCTCCCTCCAGTGCTCTTGGCTGTGGGAATTCACTCGGTTTCATCACATACAATGCAGAGCTATCAGGCCTGCATTGTATGTGGAGGAGGCAGTGGTGGAACTGTGAATGGAAGCCTAAAGCTGGGTATACACACATATATTGTCTTCATTCAACCTGCAAGCTGATCGAAGAAAATATAATATATTATTATTCCTCCATCAACACTTACGAGCATTTATCAAGGAATCCCCCAGTGTTTCTATTGTATTAGATTACCGGATCGAACCTGCTGCTGATTGGCTCCATTCGGCTGAGAATTTTTTAACCTGCTGGTCAAGGATGCCGGGCGGAAGGGTGCCGACAGCAGCATCGGCCAGTTCACTGGAACCAGCCGGAATATATACCGTGTATACCTGACTTAAGAGAGGAGGTTTTGCAGATGGAGGGAGACTATTGGAGCTTGAAATAAGGGAAGTATTACTCTTTATTTCTCTACCTCTAGGCAAAAACGAGTATTTTACCTTTGTAGAGTGTGGAGACCTCACTGCAAGCAGGACCGGATTTACTATCTCTGCTGCCCCAAGGTCAGGTTCCTCAATGCACCTCCCTCTCCGCCAGACTAACACCCCCCACCCCCCAATGGAGAATGGCAACCAGATGGCAGAGGCAACAGGGTTGGTTTAAAAAAAATTTTTCTTTATTATTTTTCTACCACTTTTTAATTTTTTTAATTTTACATTTTTATTTCTTATCTTTTACTTTTTTTCTTTTTTATAATTTTTTAATTTTATTATCCTTTAAAAAAATTATTTTAGTTATTAATACATTTTTACTTATATTTTTTTTTACTTTGTATACATTTTTATTTTTTTCACTTAACTTTATTGCTACCAAGCCCCAGTGTGATAGCATTTGGAGGTGACAGGTTCTCTTTATCGAACCTGTCAACTATAGGAGTTTTAGCACAGTACTATGCTGGCTTTCCTGTGACAGCTGAGATGGGAAGGCTGTGAGTGCAGCTCTCCTGTTTCAGTGTTCACACGGAGCAGAGCGTAGAACGGATGTTCTCCGCTCTGCTCTTCGCTCTCCATCCTGAACGAATGTGCCATGGTCCTGGGTCCCCCAGAAGAGCAGGAGACCCCGAAAACCATGGTGGGTAGGGAGGCGGGCAGCAGGGAAAGGCAGGCAGGTGAGCTAGGGCCAGACCATGGGGGGGACAGCGAGGGGGGGGACAAGGAGCCGCACGCATATTACAAGTAATCTCGCGATATCGCCGGGATCACTTGTACTTAAACACTACCCGCCTGGCGGCTTTGCTGCCCCTCTACTCCCTGCTGCCCTGAGGCCAGGCCTCTGTGGCCTTGGGGGAAATCCATCCCTGACTAAAAGGGTCGTTTTTTCTTGTGCCCGCAGTTGGGCTTTAGAGCCAGAGTTTTAGCATGTCAGTAAACCAGCACTTTCAGAAGCAATTGCAACCTCAATGTTCCCCTCATACCAGATTTCCTTTTGGTGAGTCAAGCTGGTATAAAGAAATAAATAATCACTTCAGCAGCTAGGCAGAGAGCCCTATAAATATCAGACTTTCCTCTGCCAGTAAACGTATACCACCTCTCTGTTCTGCTAACTGCCTAATGACTGCTTTCTCTTTGAAAAGCCAGCTTTGATTTTGAAATTGAATTGGTAAACAACTATTGCAGATCCTGAATAGAAAAAAAATCCCTGTTGTTGGTGGACCTGCTTTGTGATACCCTTGGTCTCTGTGGTTGTTAAAGACAGATATTCATGCTTCTAAGTCCAGTTGAATTTAGTTCCCTAAACGTACATTCTGACAAGTGCATCAGTGCTTACATAATTCTTACAACTTTCGCTTTACTTGTCTCACCTTGTTAGGACTCATACACATCAGCATAATAAAATACTTCCATCTATGCTGGATCTTTCTGCCAGAGGAAGCTAGTAAAATCCAGCATAAAAAATGCACATTTATGTGCGTTTACACGTATGCACATAAACATATCCTATTGGCTAGAAAATGTATTTATTCTAGGCACTAGAATGAATTTGCACACATACCTGCCCGTTTAAATTTATATATGCATGTGGTGTGTGTAGGTTTGGGGAATTTTTGTGGGCCCCTGAACACTGCTCTAAAATACGGATCTAAATGCCACAATGTGCAGGGGGACAATGGAGTTGATTTACTAAAAGAAAATAGGCTGCTCACTTAGCAAGGGAATTTGCACTTTTCAGGGGAAGTTTCCCCTTATTTTAGTGAATGAGGTGAAGCTCTGCTGGCTTCCACATTCAATCATATGCAAACAAAATTACAGATTTTTAAAATATTTTCCTTGCACACGATTGGGCATTCTTTGCAAAGTTAAAATTTCACAATATTCACCAAGCACCATGGGGAAACTTCCCCTGCAAACTGCAAATTACTTTGCAAACTGAACAGCCTATTTGCCTTTAGTAAATCATCCCCATTGGCTGAAAAATAGGTTTTATTGAAAAGAACTGGAAAATGAATCTAGGTTAAAGGTGTTTTTCTGCCCATGTGCATGCGGCCTAAGATTTAAGCTGTTCATACAGACATCTGATCGTTTGCAACTGAATGATCAGACTCTCAAATGATCTGCTGTTCTCCCAACATGCACATTTTCTATTCTGTGCATGTCAGGCAACCTCCTTATCATAGACTTTGAGGCAGCAATGGGTGGTGCTAGGCTAACACAGTTTCTCCCTGCTGTATCAAGAGTTGTATTATACATTAGATATAAAACTCCAACCTCTGGTGTCCCTGAAGCCAATATCT